TACCACAGTAATTTGAAGTATAATGTTTGGGAATAAGGGATTATATTAAGAAAATATAGCAGTATGAGAATAATCTTGAAGCATTCATGCGCAAATATATCTGTATTTAAATTCTTTTAAAGTAATACCATTCTGTTAAGTAATTTAGGCTATTTTATATAAAATGAATTAAAAAATAGGTCCAAATAATCAAGTATTAAAACATCTTTTATATCTACCTAAATATTCTTTAATTAAAATTTGAATGAGTTTAATCCTGCTGCATTTTTTATTACACTATACATATGTATTCCTTTAGGTTGCAATGATGTGATGAATAAAAATATAATATTTTAAGATTATAAATTATAAAATACTATTGTAAAATTTAAATACACCAAATATAACAAAGAAATATTTAATAACATATACACATAATAAAAATATAATTTTTATTTTGAAATATATTAACCACAGCAGGACAGCAAAAATAAGTAAACACAAATTATAATAAATAATTTATAGAATCTTTCCTAGCACTATTAAACTGTAGAATGCTTTGAATTTTAATAATAACAATCTTAAAGAATGACACAATGGATCAATGTATTTTCTACATTATAGGTAACGCTATTAAAACACTATCTTTTATATATAGAGAGAGATGCTTTCTGATATCAACAATATTTAATGAAATCTAAAAGAAAATAATCTTATTAAAATTTTGCTTCTGACAACTTTTGCTGTATTTTGTATTTTCTTGTATGTATATTATATGATATATGAACTAAGAAAAATTTATTTATATATTATATTTTTAAATATTGCATTGTATTTATAAATTAATTATTAAACAATTAGATATTACTTTTCCTACACTTGCACTTTATAGAACATATACATAATTTATTATTTGCAAAAAATAGAAATAATAATCCACTATAAGTTAATAAACAATATGACTAAGATGTATTCTCTTAAAAAATTTGAAAAGTTTATAAAAACAATAAAGAATTGCATTCTTTCAAAACAAATATTAGCAATGGATAAGCTAAATTGTACATTATTAGTCAATTTTACTACATACTTTTATACTAAAAATACACAAAATAAAATCTAGCATACACAATATATTAGTGCAAGTACAATCTTATATTACTTATATTATTTCTGTAAAATAAAAACTAATAATGTTACAATAATTGAAAACAGACATTTTAATACTTACACTGCGCATTCCATTGTGTGATAATCCTTCTATTTCCTCATCTACTCCAACTCTGAAAGAACAAAATTTATTTAAATAAATAGATTATACAGAGGAGGAAGAAACAAAAAAGTGAATATATAAAAAAGAAATCCTTAAAACTCACGGTATATTAAACCAGCTCAAAAACTGAGTTGTTGCACCACCCTGGAAAATGACTGTTAGAATTACGATTAAACTTGTTGTTGTTAACATAGCCTGACGAGTTTCAAATACAGTATTTCTGATGGCTAGTGCAAAACTCATAGCTCCGCGTAATCCAGCAAAAAATAACATGTGTTGATAATTTAATGATATCTTCGGTTTTCGCGCTAAATTTAATATAAAAGACAGTGGATATACATTAGCTGCGCGACCTAATAATGCACAGAGCTATAATAAAGTGGTTAAGGATATAACCCATGGTACATATTATAAAATATTAATTTAAAGATTAATATTATGAAATAAGGATACAAATCCTGCAAAAATAAATCCTGGATCAAAATGGTGCTTCGGGAAAGTAAACATTGAAACACCAATGTAACTGAATATAAAATTTTCAGCTAAAAAATTTAAAAGTTCAAAGAGTTGTTTCGTCCGTTGACGCGAATCTGGACTTAAATTATTATACGTGTAATGTGCTTGACAAATACCACAGAATAAGACAGCAACTACACCTATATGTAAATGATTATTTGAAGTATTAATTATGTTACTAGAAAAAATAGTCGATTTAATGCATGTAAAATATTAAAGTAATGCAGTTTTCTCATAAATGTTACCTGTAAGGTCAGATGCTTCAGCAATTAAAAAAGTACTATAAGACATTAAAACAAATAATGCTGATTCCAGAAGTGGGAAATCTCTGACTCTAGTAAATTTAGTTAATAAAGCAGTAATACAGCCCATTGTAGCACCAATAAATAAAGATAAACTAAATATCCCAACAAAATCACCAAATGCTTGGAAAAATGCTACAGTTTCAAATCCACCTGAACCTGAACGTTCTCCATAATTTTGTATAGAACTGTAATAAAATAAGTAATTTATATGTTTAAATAATTGAGTTTTGTTGAAGATATTTTTAATATTTTATTATACATACCCACTAAGTACAATCGCAACTGCATCATTCAACACACTTTCTCCAAATACTAAAGCATATAAATTTACATCTACATGTAAATCATTAAAAATAGAAATTATTGTCAGTGGATCTGTAGGAGATATTAATGCACCAAAATATAAAGTATCCAAAAATGTAAGTGGTTTAGAAAGATGTGGTATTAATTGTACAAAGGCATACATCAAAGCTCTGAAAAGAAGAAATAACATACATATAAGAGAAATGTATGACTAAAAAAGTATACCATTATGTTACAAAGAATTTTTCTTTTATCTATGGGCTATAAGAAAAACAACAGATATATTCAATCTTAATGACCTATGGATACAAAATTATCACAAGAAACGTTCCACACAAAAGCTTTAAAAGATGTAAATAAACTTGTTATTATGATCAGAAAGTGTGTGTTTATGTATAATCATATGTATTTCTCATTAGTATGAAAAACATACCCAATAACAAAAGCTGATATAGATGTTCCAATTAAAGCATACATAAGAATTGCTCCTAAATTTCTAAAGAAGTATTTCTGAAACAAGATAGTAGTAACTTAATGCTATCATATATTAATATTCAATAATACAAAAGATTAATGTATTATTACTTACACGTTTTAGACTATACCCGGCATGAAAAATGATTGGTGGTAAAATAATATTAAAAAATATTTCAGGATCGAAAGTGGCCTGTTAAAATTTAATATTTTAATATAATTACTTTTTAGAAATACTTAATTTAATTTTAATGTAGCAGAGTAAAGTAGTATTTGATCCCTTCATAATTTTTATTTTTGAATAACAGTGTTACAAGTTACTTTGTAAAGAATTTTATTAAATAGTACCTTCAAGTCTATCTCATTATCTTGCTTATAAATCTCTCCTCTGAATGAATAAGCAAATGTTTTATTAACAACACCACCTCCTTTATCTTCTGGAAAATGTAACCATAATGTGTCTGGAGGAACTGATTGATTGTATTTACTAGTGTTGTCTGGCACAACAGGCATATGCAAAATAGTACTACTTGTTGTGAAGCCATAACGAATTATTGCCCCTATAATTAATCCTAAAAAAAATATATATATACTCATAACAAATGCATATATTAATAATAAATTACAAAATTTTTAAAATATCATCTAAAATATATCTAATCTGATATAAACTAACTTTAAAAAATCTTTTTTCTACGATTTGTGTAACTACAATGTTTATTACACATCCTTTTTTATCATTCTGCATAAATGAAAAATATGAAAGTATTTAAACATATACTCATTAATAATTGATAATTAATATCTCAGATGATGGTAAATTATTCTTTTTTTAAGCTATTAAACCTTGTTGTAGATGTTTCCACAAATTTTATAATGTAATACCTTGGCACTAATAAAAAGATACTGCAATTAATAAAATAAATATATATTTAAAATGATACTTATTATCCAGCTTTTTTAACAAAGGTATGTTATTTTTAAATAATTACTAGATGAGAAATATTCATATAAGCAGTTGATTATTATTAACTAAAGTTAAATATATGTTTAGGATGTAAGTCAGCTTATATAAAAATGTTTTATTGACACATAAGAATACTTTATTACATGTATGTGTATACATAAGCATGTATATATAATATACAGTTCAAATTTAAAAGCATTATATATATATATATATATATACGTGCATTCGTGTGTGTAGCGTGCGTGCGTGCGTGCGTGCGTGCGTGCATATATAATTATATGATGTGTGTATATATGTATAATGTGCACACACACATGCGCGCGCGCATGCATGCATATATGCATTCATATACACAAAATAACAAAATGACAGCTTCCTATAAGAATAAGTAAAATCTAAAATTAAAATTTGCATGTGTATAATTACAATTATGTCACATAAACAGTATCAATAGCAGACGACTCACCATAAATGACAGCTAGACCAGTTTCATGGAGGAACCTAAGGCGACGATGCTTAAATGTCCATATTGTTAAAACAGTTAATATCAATAAAAATGTATATAATAAAAGGTTTAAACTATCGAGTCTGTGTAATAGCTGTGCTTTCGCGTCTAATTCAATATCTGTCGCAGCTCCATTACACGATTTTAACATGAAAATACACAAAATTATAAGGAGGACAATTCGTGTACCGCCTCTCACTGCCATCTTTACTTTGCAACCATTTCTTAATCAAACTGTCAGTGTAGCAGTATGACCAACTGTACTATTAATACAGTCAAACTTTTAATAAAAGTTTATTAACTAAACAAATGTCATGATAAAGTATATTATATTTTAAAAACTAAATATTTATAAATGTATTGAAACATTATTTATTTTCAAAAATTATATGTTATAATACAAAAATTATGATTAACAATTTATCTAAAGTAGATGCAACATTTATGTATATATATATTATCTTTTATATAGTGTATGTGCGCATGTATGCATGCAGTATGATTTCATATATTCACAATAAATCTAGCAGTCCACGTGCATTCCATTACTATCATCGTCATATTTTGTGTTCATGTCAAATATCTTATAACGTTATTTAATCATATTTAATTAAATAACTCCATTTTAATAAAATAACTCCAAAATATAATCATAAAATTTATGTACGCAATATCAGATTAATCAAAGATAAGTAATATATGAATTTAATAAGTAACCAATAAAATTTTGCTAATTTATAAATGAATTAGTGGTAATGGCATTTTCTACAAACATGAGTGGTGTTATCAAAATATACCAAAGATTGTTGACAAAATATCCATTAATCACTCAAGCAACACAAGCAGGTAAAAAGAAATAGTAGATGTTTTTAAAATATAAAAAATTTGTTTAGCATTATAACATATATTGATAATTACTTATACTATCAAATGAACAGGTACATTAATGGCACTTGGAGATCAGATTGCACAAAATTTAATTGAACAGAGACAAATTAAAAACTTAGATTTTGTAAGAACAGCTCAATTTGCAAGTATAGGATTTTTTATTGCTGTAAGTATATTTAATAGAAAAATGTTAGAAGTCTAATATTTATTTATATCTTGTACAATGTTATTTTATCAACGCTTATAATTGTCTGTAACATAATTAATTAAACAAAAGAAATTATATATTTGGTATATAAATTTTTCTGAAATATTATTAAATTCATATGATAGGGACCTGTGACCCGAACTTGGTATGGAATATTAGATAAATATGTTGGTTCAAAAGGTGGAATGGTAGTATTGAAAAAGGTATCTTATGATCAGTTATTTTTTGCACCAGCATTTTTAGCAGTTTTATTATCAACAATTGGTATTTTACAAGGAAATGATTTAGAACAGTTAAAAGTAAAGTTGTATAATGAATATCCAGATATTTTAAAGAATAATTACAAGGTAATATAACAATATATAATTATATATTAAGATAAATAGCAAAATTAATTCACTACATTTTGTAAAAAATTTATGAATTACAAATTTTTTTCAGCTTTGGCCTATGGTACAATTATTCAACTTTTACTTTATACCTTTACAATATCAAGTCTTAATAGTTCAATCAATAGCTTTGTTATGGAATACTTACATTTCCTATAGGACAAGTTTAGGAAAATAAAAATAGATATATAAAATAAAATAAAAATTTATAAACATATATTTATTTTAAATACAAATGTTAATACCATTAAACTTTGTTTGAGATATTGTTCACAATAGCATAACAAAAAATTTGATTTTTAGAGAAAAGTTACATAAAATCTATTATTAAATAAACAATACAATAGTATTGTAACATAAAACAACAATAGCATTATAGATAATGTAGATTACAAAAGTTTTCTATGGTAAGGTATTAAAAAACGTGTTTACAATATTGTACAGTACGTACATCTGATCATAAAGAAAACTGTTTGTTGTTTATTTATACAATTCCAGAAATTTAAGTACATAGCGCTTCATTGTAATTTTGTAATTATTATTTTTGTTCTATATATTTTTTTCATATACATCATGCATTTATATCATGATAGTATCTCTTATGATCAAATTATTGATATCTTTTACAAATGCATATATTTTTGTATGTAGTGGGAATAAACTTATTTTATGGAATGTTATCATTTTTAGAAACTATTAACTCATTGGATGTGAACACACATCGTTCTAAATGTTAAGTGTGTACAAGAATATCTGAAATGTACTAAAATAAACAAAAATTGAATCTAAATTAATTGTGGTCTATTTAAGTCATCATATATCTATATTATGTATATTTATTTAAGCATATTTAAGATATTGCCATTAACAATAATTCACATTGGAACCTTCTCAGCTTTTGCAATTGCTGCAGGTATAGTTTCATTAGTTTTGGATGATATACATGTGCCAAGTAATTCTGGACACGATATTTCATTAGAAACAATCTTTTGTATCTTTTTTAGTAAATCATAATTGATGCGTTGTGTTATTATAGAATCATTTCTGTATGAATATAAGATTAGAAATGTAATAAACATTTTTATAGGTTTTTCTTTATATATGTTCACATGCAAAATACTTACTTATACTCTGGGTGTGAAAGAACTTCTTTCCTTAACCATGCTGCAGTTGTTAATAATTCTCCAGATGCTCTTTTTTGTATTAATTTCATATATGCTTGTACAGTACAATGTGTGTCAGCATCTACATCCATGCTAGCTAAGTATGAATTTACTAATGGTATTAAACCTGGAAAAATATCATCCTGAAACAAAATAATTTATTACAGAACATTTTTGTATTTATTCGTGAACAAAATATTGATACCTTTCCATTGATAATTTCGTTAATAGTAAATTCTGTATACTCTGCTTGTCCATCATCTTGCTTTTTTCCATCTGATGTAATATCTCGACGAAACCAAAATTTTTCTGCTATGATTGCGTTTTTCCTCTGTGCTCGAGTCATATTTTTGTCAACTTTACTAATTGGTATTAGAAGATTTAATTTATAGCTTAAAATAACTCTGGTAAGAAGAACAATAAAACAAACTATTGCAGCATTTTCAAAATCTGTAATTTGAATTTCGCATGGACGAAATTCAACACGCCATCCTATAGAAGAATTTGGTGGTGGTGGTTTAAATCTCATAGTTTGCCAATTAGTAGATTGTATATTCTGAAATTTTATATTTTGTATTCATATAATCATAATACAAAATTATAATTTTATAGTTAAAATTAGTTGATAATAATAATTACTTCAAAGTGATCTGTATCCTCCAAATCATTTTGATGTATTTTTTCAGAAAATAATGACACAGTATCTCTGATAAATAAATGAGCAATATGTTGTGCAAGTAATTTATCAATTCCATTGTCTAGGAGTTGTTTATATATTTCAGCATCATATGTTAAAGGAACATCATTATATATTTCTCCTTGTTCGCTAAGATATGAATCAATGGAGTCATATCTAGATTTACTAATTCTGAATTTGTTTTCCTTCAGAGGCTTTAAGCCGCGCTCCTCTTGTGTTCTGCAGTCAACAGAGCAAGATATAACATTCCATCGACAATCAACATCACTTATATATCCTCGGTAAAATGGGCTAGCAGCACTTAGAGCCAACTGTCGAATATTAAACAAATATTCTGTGACATATGCGTAGAAGAATATTCTAACTCTATGTTTTTAGAGCTTATTAAAATATAACTTTATTTGTACGAATTACTGACCATTATTGGGCATAAGGGTGTTAATTGGTCATATAACATTCTTGCTTCTTTAATATTACAAGCTTGAAAAGTAAGTTGTAGACAACAGCATCCCATTCCAAATCCCATAGCATCCATGTAAATATGATCTTCTTTTGCTGCACAACTAGATTGATCGTTAATCAAGGTATCAAAATTCTCTTTAAATGGATTTGGAACATTTTTATCTTTATAAACTGCAAGAAAATACTTCATGTTAAGATTTAACTGAATTATTGTACTTATAAAAAAGTACATATGTATAAATACCAAATACAATAAATACATACTAGGAATGTTTATAGCAACTTTTTCTCCGCGTCGTTGTCTTATGTTTCTCGTTAATGTTTTAAATCGTGGATGGCCTGGATATATAGCTTCATCTGGGAAAAATAAACTTCTTGATGCTCCAGAATTTGGAGTTGGATATGTAGGAGGATCTGTAAAATCATGTGCTCCTGTTCTGTAAGAGAATATTTAAACTAACAATACTTTTCATAAATATTATGTATAAATAATTATGATTAAGATACTAATTTATATACCTAGGAAAATTAGTTAAAGTCAGTAAGACCTCATTAGGTTCAAGCAATTTTGAAGCTTCCTGCCTTCTGTACCTCATATTAGCTTCAACAACATTAAAATGAAATAATAAACCACCATACGGCTTTCCTGGTGTTCCTTCTAGCATATAAGCACCATATTCAGGTCTCCATAATGATTTAATATTGCTGAGAAACAAATAAATATTACTAAAATGTGATATTACTAAAAAATATTTTAAAATAGGTTTATTTTATAATCAACTAAACAACTATTTTTAAAATATTTACAGTTTATATAAATTTAAATTACAAAAAAAAAAAATGATAAAGTACTTACTCTGGATCATTATATTCTTTTTCATTTAAAGTTTTTAATACTTTTATAGCTCTTAAACTAAGCTTCGCAGTTTTTGCTTCATCATCAAATTTAACAAGCATATATTCAACCTATTTAGGAACCATATTAAAAACATTAAAATTCTTTAAATATTAAAATTACAATGACCAGTAAGCTTAAGAAACATATTAATTTTGTAATGATTAAGTGACATATCAATAAAATGTAGTTAAAGCAAAAAGTGTTGACTCATAGACCTAAAACTGAATTGTAATTGGAGAAAACTCAAGGTCATGCTTTGGATGTTCAACTGGAATTATTTAGAATATTCATTCATTTCTTATTTTTTTTTTTCAATAATCAATCTTATAAGAATATTGTAAAAATTCAAATAAATAAAAATTATATATAGATAATAAACTAACAATAATAAATAAATTAAGGCATAAATGTCATTTTCTAAAAATAATGCTTTTACAGCTACATATGGAAAATTATAACTAAGGTATTATGTTAAATTAAAAATATTAAATTTCTAAAATTAAAATATATTATCTTTAAGAATTAATAACTGTTAATAATAAAAAAAAACATTGCGAAATTTGTATTTATATTATTACTTATAAAAATTATACAAAAAAAGATAATATTTATTTTAATTATTTAATAAATATTACCTCATCGCCCCATTTGAGTATATCACCCTGACGATCCCTAAGTCTTTTGTATAGGTTAATAAATTGAATAATCCCATGTTTTCGAACATGGTCAGCAAGATTTCGCGTTTCTTCCCAAGTTAAAGGATTTCCTTCGGATAATAATCCCATATCTGCACAAATTAATCAATATCGATTTTTTCAAAATTTGACACTTGAAACAGAATTTCGCGCAAGATCGATTCAGTCCGATTTTTACCGAGTTATACCGAGATACAATCTTACTTCACACTTGGGAAACCGCACAAATTTTACAATGAAATAAAATATAGCACCATTGATGTTTTATAGACTATCAACAGTCTTTTGCGAACTATCCCGTCACTTCAATGATATATAACTACAAGGTAATCATACCCTCCTATTACAACCTTGCGACTAGAAACACTTGGAGATATCTAGTTTAAAATATTGTCAATTCATCTCTGGTTTGATAAAGCTTAGGTAATCGTGTGTAATAATTGTTTTCTTTGTATAACCATATATCTTTCGTTAATTGATTAATATCACTATAAACATTTTCCTGGTCAGTTCAAATGACTCACGTGTGTAATTAAAGAGATTAACTCTCGGAATACGGAACATGAAGTCCGGTAACTGAATCAATCAACTCATACTAAGAGCTCATTTATCATATTCCAAATATTCTTTTTGTTCTTTATACGCTTGATGTCTTATATTATATAGATACAACTTTTTTCATGAATACTATCGTTACGAGAACTGATTTCAGTAATACAAAATAGAATAATAAATTGTCGAATTGTAAGTAAATAAAACTCTAAATGTAATAATAAATGTTATTTTATATTTTTTTTATGTACGTATTACATATAATTATTTATACAAAGAGTGTATATTACAAATATGAACAAAAATGAACCTGAATACAACTAAAATTTGTTGTTTAAATTTGCTGTTTGTACGTACTATTTAAAGCATTATACGATACTAATTCGTTCACGTGAAATTTACTATCAACACGTCATTTCACTGTTACGTAAACAATTCGGCACTGAGTACGTTATTGCTTCAAAGTCAGCAGACTTTTAATAATTTAGACATATAAACATAAACAATTAACAATTAATTGCTTGTATATAAATGAAAAATTTAATAAACAAAAATTGATTTTAAATTACAAAGAAACTTTTACATATCGTCCTTTTTGTCATGATAAAATAGCAATTTTATTTATAATATTATGAATTTATTTGTAATATATGTAAAATAGTAATGTAAATAAATATTTCATAAATTTTTATATATAACTAACAAATTATTTATATTAATTAATATTATGACGTCAACTTTAATATCTTAAAAATTAAAAATACGACATTAAACATACATTTCTTATCATTCCATACTTTACTCGATATTATCAATTATCGATAATGTTAAATGATTTGTAAACAAATATTAAGAGAAAAGATTTATTAACTTGATCATATAATATTAGTTTTTATTATCAATTGATATAAATCTATGAAAATAAACATGAAAAAACAAGGTAAAATAGTGATTAAATTGATATACAACATATGTTATAAATTACATTTTATTACAATGATTTTTATCTTGCAAATTCAGTTTGTTAAAATATTACATAATTATGAATTCAGTTACATCAAAGTATATTTGTATTTTAATCAAACAAACTGAATCCCATATCTTCATCTTCAGATTCTGATTCTTCTTTCTTTTCTTCCTTCTTTTCTGCAACGGGTGTTTCTGCAACGGCCGCAACGGGTGCAGCAACAGAAGCAACAGTAGCAAATTTACTTGGGTCCTATATGAATATTATACGATATTAAATAAGTTTCGATAACTTTATAAAAAATAAAATATATACATAGTATATTTTGTCAGACTGCATGTTATGCATTTTTCAACAAAAATCTTAGTGTCAGTGGGTTCTACTATTTCTAGTGCTGACACTAATTACATAAGATTCTCAGATAGAATAATTCATCATATTAATATTTTTAATAATTATTATTATAATATATATTGATAAAAGATGAAATATGAATAAAACGTACTTTGATATACTCCTTAATTGTAGCAGCTTCTGGAAATTCAACTTCGGTAACAGCAGCAATTGCCAATAAATTCTTGAATCCATTAGCAATGCTATGAGGTGCACTAGCTATTGTAGGGTAACCAATAGCTAAACAAACTGCAGCTAAGTTTGCTACACCAGCCATGAATTTTTCACGTAGATCTTCTGGTTTAATGTCCAAAATTTCAGGTGCAAAAATAGTACCAGAATCATAGACTTGTTCAACAAGTAAACCATATGAAAATGGAGAAATGTTCAACATATTTAAAAGAGTTGCTTCAGATGCTCCTACTTTATCACCTGGTTTTAAAATATGAACATCATTCTAAAATATAATGAAATACATATTAATTTTTTCTTATATGAAAAAATAATCTATATCTATATATATATATAAAAAAAAAATTTTATATATATATAAAATAATCAAAATTGAACTGCATCCTTACAATAATTTCAATAGTACCCTTAGAAATCTTAGTAGGAATGCTTAAGGCTTGGAAAAATGATGTTTTCTCAGGTCCAAGACCAGTATTTTGTGCAGGAATAATTACACTCAATGGTGCAATGGCACCTGCTCTAGCTGGTGCTCTGACTTTATTTTCTAAAAGTTTATCTCTCACTTCAATCAAATCCCCACGAGTAAAAACAAAACCAACATTTCCACGAATATGTGAAAGAAGTTTTTCAAGTGCAGCATTACGTTCAACATGTCCACGGATTGCTTTTCTCATCATGGTATTTTTTCCCATTAATACAACCGCATTTCTGCGAAGGGACATGCGAATTTGTTGCATTTGTTTAGAACCAACATTGTCAGCACCCACAATAAAACATTTTGGATAGTCATCCAAAAGTTGCTATATAAAAGATATGTATGGTATAGATATGAATTAATTTAATTAAAATACCATTACAAAATATTTAAAATACTTACAACAATTTTTGTAAAATAATTGGATTTCCATGTTGCCTTGTCCTCCCTACCCATCTTGATGTGAGTACGGATAATTTATTATAGTTTAAGGACTAAAAATAAAAAGTTTATTTAAATACAATTCACCATTATTATTGTAAGAATCATAATAAAAATTAAAATCAGACTACATATGTGTAATATACAATCTTGTAATCTGTACACAGATAGGTTCCACTATTTCTAGCTTCTGTGTAGATCTCAGATTATCAGATACTTTATTTTATCATCATATAATTTTTCATGTTTCCATACTTATTTTATAAAAAACTACACATACAAATATATACTTTTAGAAATACATAAAAGACAAATATGACTTGTACAAAAATTCTGTACCATTAATTATATTTGTAATTTAATAAAATTTAATACTTATTTTAATCATTACATTATATCGTATTATATGATTAAAGATTCAGATGTATAAATTAATATTCTCAAATGTATGAGTTGTAAATATTGCAATATTTATGAATTATACAAATTTCGATTATAAGCACATGTTATGCACAAATTACTTATTTTCACATAAACAAACAAAAATATTTTAATCTTTTCCATTTTATTCGTATAATAGAATATAAATAATGTTATTAAGTGATTTTTATAAATAAAAAGTAAATAAATTATTTTATTCTACACATGTAAGGAAAAGTTCTTTTACCTCGACAAATTGTATGGGTGAAATGTAAAAGGAAGAGGAAGTTTCTTCTCCTCCATGATGCAAACATTTACCGGATATGCTTGATAAAATTAATATCCAACCGCGAAAATTTAAAAAGTTTAAAAATACACTGTTAATTACGAAATAATAAAATTATTTAATATATTTTTTAAAAATACGCAATAATAATTAGAAATAAATAATATACTGCGTACAGAATTATTGCGTTAAAATTTAATATCTAAATATATGAAAGAAAATTTTAAATTATTATATATATACCAAATTATATTTTAAAAATAATTTATTAGAGTTTCTATTTGAAATTTGATTTTTAATTAATTTAGTAAAAATTTTAATGTTAATCTAAATACAATTGTCTTTTTTAAGTATTTTGATAGTATACATGCAATATAAGAAATTTATAAATTATTACAGCATAAAATGAACAATAAAGAGAACACACTATGTTTTTTATTTATTCACTTCTTTGAAATATTACATAATATACATGTATATTTTAAATTTAGAATACATTTTAAATTAATCTTTACAATACACAATATTTAATGTAACAAAATGATGCAGCACACTACTGAATAAAAAATAAAGTCATGCTTATAGAAAAGGAAAATATTTTGTACATATAATGAATGTGATCTTTTTGTAATTAAACAATATATAAATAACTATATATTGATGAATAGATAGAAATAATTTGCGTGTAAAGTATGAATTAATTTTAAAACATTATTCTGACATTTTTTATTTTATTTTAATTTATACTGATAGAATTTCTTCAGCACAATTTTTTAATATGTTCAATGCAAAATCAATATCATTTTTGTTGAGAAGTGTAGAAATGCAAAGCCTAAGACTAGGCCTAGGTAAATTTTTTTCTGCTTCTAAATAAACAGGTGTTATAATTGCTAAATTATTTTCAATACATCTGTTAGAGATTTTAGAAAGTACTTCTTCTTCTGTAGTACGGTCCATTCTATTTTTTAAATATACATGTTTTACTGGGGATTCTGGAAAGCTTAAACATTCTAAGCAATGAATATTTTGAAGCCCATTATTTATAGCTATACAATTATTCTTTAATGATTTAAATATCTGTGGATTATTTTTCATAATATCTAAAGAAGTAATAGCAGCAGATGTTAAGAGAGGTGGTAAAGATGCAGAAAAGCAATATCCAAGTCCAGATAAGCGTTGATGTTCAATAACAAATGATGTACCTACACAAAAGCCTCCAATAGATCCCATGGCCCAATCTAAGGATCCTAAAAATACATCAAATATAATAAAAATTATATTTACAAAAAAGTGTATAAAATATAATATATAATAAAAATTATTAAAAATATTACTTACCCATAATCATATCAATTTCATGTCTAGGAATACCAAAGTGTTCAGTAATACCTTTCCCATGTTCACCAAGAGTTCCAAATGATATTGATTCATCAATAAATATTCTTAATTTATATTTTCTACATAATGAAAGTAACTCTGGTAATGGACATATATTTCCAGTATTCATATAAATACCCTCAACTATTAAAAAACGTTTAGTTTTAGCTGCCTTTTTAGGATTTTGTTCATCAAGCTTTTCTTGTTTAGACAATAAATCATAAAGATCATTCACATCATTATGTTTAAAATAATTAATATTAGCTTTAGTAGCATCTAATCCTTTTTGTATAGCAAAATTTACTCTTTCATCTACAAAGACAAGATCTTTGCGCTTACAATATGCTGCAATTGCAGATGCAATTGTACTAAATCCATATGAATATACAACTGCTTCTTCAGTATCTGTATAATTTGCTAAACGTTCTTCTAACTCAAGATGAACATCAACAGTACCATAAAATCCACGTGGACCACAAGAACCTACTCCATATTTTCTTATTGCTGCTATTGCATCTTTTTCTATTTCATTGTTTTCAATTAAACCTAGGTAATTGTGTGTACCTAAATTCAAACAATCTTTACCATCTACTACTATTCTTTTACCAGCTCTAGATGTTACACATCTCGGATTTAATGATAAATGATTTGTTTGTGGATTGTTTATCAGGGGTTCAGGATTCCATTCTGCAAGTTTTTTTTCAACTTCATCTTCATTTAATGCTCTTTCATGACTATTGAAATATCTTTTACTAATAAACCAAATAAGCCATAAAATCAAAAAAGTTCCTAGTAATATATGATACTGAGGTATTGTACTTAGAATGTTCATTGATTCAATAAATATAAATTTTGTGCTCATATTTTCGATTGTATGATATTTTATATACCCTGCTTTAAAATATATACTTTAAATAGTATATCACTTTTTTAAGTAATTACACAAATTTATGATACTAATATTATATTTTGAAAACATATAATTAATACTGCATTAATACTGTAAAGTATTATCAATTTTTAAATCTCATAATGATAAATATTGCTTAAAATACCAGATAAGACTAATTTCAACTCAGCGTAATTCAGTGTAAGCAACATATAAAGGTTACTTCTTACGAAGAACTAAATAAAAACCAGATGGCAGCACTGATATATATACATACACACATCAGTGCGGAATATTCAAAATATTATCTTAAAATATATTTGAGACATTAATTTAAAAATTTATTTAGAAACTTTATAAGCATTTTATTACCATTTTAATTATATTATGAAAATGAAAGATTAAGAATTGTAATTACAATATATAAATATAAGTTCAAAATTATTTCAGTAATAAGATAAGTATATTGATTTATTATGTAAGAAACATTTTTATTTTTCAATTTTATTAATATGATAGTTACAATCTTAAAACAATATTATAGAATTAGGATAAATTTTTTTTAAAGATAATATTTGAACGTAGGCGCATGTGCAATCAAGAATTCTAAACTCACACAATAGCAAGAGTAGTACTTCCGGTATCCGGCAAACGCCCCAGTGTATGTAGTAATGTTGTCAGATTGAATTCTTATCACTTGTGTATCACAATTGTTGAGTTGTTATTTAGTTAACTCTCATAAAGTGATAGTGTACATGTTGCTGAATTTCAGTAAGTTTTCATACTGGTAAGTAAATACACATTTTTCAAGTAATAGTGAATACATCCCACTGTCGCTAAATACATAGTAGCTGTGCTGAAAACATTGTACTATTTACGAGGTTTCCGCAGTTTACATTATCTATACTCTAATGTCATATACATATATATATATATATATATATATATATATATATATATATATATATATATATATATATATATATATGGGTATACGAAAAATATAGTATATTATATATTTAATAAGTGATTCAATTGGATTTGTGTGTGTTTTTTTTTTTTTTTAAAGATATGAAAGTGTATTTAGTTTGGTTATGTACATGGTTATACTTGTGTATATCTCTTGCTGTGTTTCAATTGTGAGTCATACTATGCTGCACCTGATACTTGACACCTGGTAACGTATCTTAATACTTTGTATTAAATATTAACAAATTATATAAAACCTACTAAATAACATATTTGAATTATTATATTTTATGCATGTTACAAAAATTAAGATTTGTAATTTGTCACAAGTAACATGTTTATAATGGAAAAATGTATTCGAATTTCGTTGTTTATATAAAGATATATCTATTTAATGTATTGATTAATTAAATTTAAATTTATGGCCGATTTGTGTATATATCTACATTTATAAAAATGATTGATTATTTTTATTTAAAATTACAATTTTTGGTATATAATAATTTTATCTATTTAGTAATTATCAAAATATTCATTATTGAGATTTTGTATTATTAGGTTGGTTATATGATACGGTCCTGTGATTCTGACGCGAGATTAAAATTCCATCGTGAAAGCTGACGATGTGAGTCCGTTATTATCATTCATCAGTTACATATCGAAGGCATCAGTTTTTATATTTTGTCTATTATTATTTTTGTAACAATTATTTATATAGTAGTCAACAAAATTTATTTTGAAATGTCCGAAGTTAATAAAGCGGTAGAAGATAATTTTCGAATGATACCAGGTGCTTATAAAAAGGTTTTAAATATGTGGCAACATCGTGAGTATAAATTAATTTTTGTTTTTCTTTTTTCTTGGATATAATACAACAGTTTGTAGATATTACTGTGTTTAATGTTCTACAAGACTGTAATAAATTATTAAAATTAACATGTTATATTAATCCATTATACCGTTTTTGCAAATAAGCCATATGCGAACATAAAGAGTATTGATTATAAAATTAATACAATTATTATACAGTTAAATACGTCTGGCGAAAAATCAGAATTTGTATATGTACTAACTTCTCAATGTTTCTTTACTTTTTTACATTAATCGTTATGTAATATTTTTTATAAATAATACAATACATTGTAGTTTTATATTATAATGTATAATATTTGAATTTATTTATAAGTTTATTAGCAGTATTTGATGTGATTTATAAAATGATTATATTTCAGCTTTTTTCTACTCAGATAAAATTTTTTGTTATCAATGGAAGTTATATATATATATTTACACTGAGGTATGATAAAAAATACGCTTATAGTTATAGCGGAAATGGTTTGTAATATAAGTCATTCTGAATTTGATCATCATTCTTGTGCATGATAAATTATAAAATCTAATATAATATAAAATACTGTTTTTATACTAGCAGTATAATAATACCTAATTTTAAATTGGCAGTACTTCATTTTTTATTAGTAATGACATTTATGTTTTCAATATCAGTTTTTAACAAAAGTAATACATTGATCTTCTAATTGTTGTGAATAGTTGTAGCTTGAGGTTTGTTAGTTCTGTTAGAAATGAAGTTAGATTTCGAAAGTCCTGCAGTGCACGTGGCTCTTTACCTAAAGAACTTGCAACAATTTCGGGTCTCGACCACCCTGTGGCAGCACTGCCGAGTGCCGGTCGAAACCTAAAGCGATAGAGCATTACGCCGGCTGCTTCCAAAGTAGACTGTTTTTGAGGGTGGACATTCCACCCTTACGGATCTCGTGAATTAATTCAAGATTTACAGTCGTAATGCGCATTATTATTCGAGTTTGTCCTTCTTTAGAGTGTCAATTGAAATAACTCGAAGTGATTTGAAACGTTTGTCATTTCTTAAATATTTGGGTGGTGTCCAAAAGGTCAAACAAATTTTGTTGTATCAATGAAGCTATGTAGTATTGTATGTAAGTCGATAGGTTAAAAGAGTAAAAATTTTAACATACGTTGTACAAATTTTTGAGTGAAGATTGATCTCTTGGCGGTACATAATAACCTCGCCTGACATACGGTATTAATATACATCGTCAATTGTGTTCTGCACAACTGAGTTAGTAAAAGTGATTCATTGCAGATAAATGTATGTAAATTTTCTCTGACGATCGAACGTTTATTCGCCCGTGATTTCATTCGTCGCGTCACTTGTATGCATTGAAACATGTGCTTGTGATGATAGATATACGTGTATGTTCATCCGTTGAGTTTTATTAACTATAGAATTTCTAAATTTTATTTTCATTTTCGCTGTTACGATTATGAGAAATACAGATGCAGCGTATATTTAAAAAAATGTATGGTTATTAACAAAAAGAACGTGTATTTCTTCTGACGCGAAATTTATCATTTCCGTATTTCTTGTTATTTCCTGCAATTGAACAACGTTATAAGATAGTATTTAATATTTGGAACATTAAAGAAATGTTATAATATTCTTAAATATAATTGTAGTAAATTTAGTGGATGTACAATATCCTTTTATATATATATATCTGTTATGCTGATCTCGGAAACGTAAACTTGGGCGTTGTTGAAATCGATCATCGCGCCATCAAGAGAAATTCGCGGGGAAAATATGAGGTATAGATCTCATCTACGTAGGATTCCTTGAAAGTGTTATAAATGACTTTATACTTCTTATGAGAATGTTACGAAATTGTTTATAAAAATTGTTACATATAATAGGATGGGAATTTGAGTCGTTAAAAGAATAAAATAAGTTTGATAAAAATTAGATAAATATTTTATCTCTGTTATATTAACGATAATAATAAATATAGCTCTTTCGATGTACGTTGTTAATATTACATGTTTAACAGTTTGTATAAAGCAAAGAACTAAAAGGTGCTAATTATTGATCTTATTCTTTTGCTAATACGCGATTTAATTGCTACTTTACAATATTAATGGATACACACGGTAAACACATAAACCGGCTGTGAGCAAATGTAATTCATACGGTAGTACACTGAACAATTTATAGTGCGTGATTCCCGTGGGAAATCCGGTTGAAACGAAATATTCAGTCTTTTAGTTCCGTTGCCTGAGAAGGACCAGCAGAGCTAAAATATTCAAGTACCAGTTATATTGCGGCTGTGAGGGGTCAGCATTAAACTTGAGCCTAAATACTAAAGTGTTCTTACATTATCTGATATATTACTCGTTATTATTTTCAATAATATTTCAAGTCAATAATCGTTATATATTATATTAAAAAGCATATATGTCATTTTCTATTTATAATTGTTCAAACCAAAGTACGATATTTAATCTGAAACAAAAACACGAAATTTTAAATTAATCGTCAATATTTTACATTGTTACAATGTTAACTATATTCACGTTATTGTGAGTTTGCACCTCTCTCTCGTTAATACGTATGAAATATATCGATAAATTTTATCGCATTTTTCAAATCGATTGATTCGAACGGATCGACAGTGTCGACATAAAGCGATATCGGGTGAAAAAGCCGCGTGATTTATATATAGAAAGCTATCAGTTTGAAAGCACCGAAGTTCGGTTGAAAGCGCCGAAAGCGTTTATTGCTGAAACAACGGAAATCTATAATCGATATTGACGATGTTTAAATGCTGTGTGTGCAACAAGAGTTCAAAGAAGGAGAAGCCGAACGGCGAAGTGGCGAAACCGACGCCGAAGCAAATTCAGAAAACTGTTGACTCGCAGTTAGTTGGCATCGATTCCTCGAAGGTCGTGGAAAGCGGGCCGATCGGGCGAGAAGAGAAGTTGAACGGTGACGTACAGAAATTTGAGAAAGTTTCTCCGTCGATGGAGAATAGCAGCGCGGAAGTGGTCGACGATCTAACTGTTAAGAGTCCGTTGCCTTCCGGTAAGCGTGACGAGGTCACTGATAATTCGCGATTACGAACGAAATCGATAAACGAATCGAATGGCAAGAAGGACGGCGATAATGAGAGTGATACCGAAAGTGCGAGTAATCGAACGAAGATGAGAAACGAAGATGGCGCGACGAATGGAATTAAAGATGTGAGTGGTACTGGAAAAGTAGGGGAAAATGACGATGTAAATGGAATCGATGATGGGGTTGGCGGCGATGGAATGATGAAAGCAATACTGAATTCTGGGATTCCTACCAGCGTTAAAACCAATCTTTATGACTCCTCCGCGTATATTGAGAGAACGATCGATGATGGACCGGAGGAGGAAGGTGATGATTCCGTTTTCGAAGCTTGTCCGAACGATACCAACGCGAATAAAAAGACGCCACCAGGTATATTTTTATTGAGGAATTTTGCTTGATAAATTAAAACGTGCAATTTGCTCCTTCCATTGCTTATTTTCCCGCCATTTTTTCAAAATTTTTCATATTTTATTTACTTTATTAATAATGATAACGAACATTGAGATTGACTGAAAATAATTTCGCAGTAAATAATGAATTTCGTTATCATATTGCTAGAGTTTGAAATGCGTTAGATTGCTTCAAATTACGAATGGGGAAATTGTACTTATTGAATAACTTATAGATAGATGAAGTGTCTATATTCGGGTATACGATGCGCAGTTTCGTCAATTCCTCGGTGGCTCTCAGAAGAGGAAGATGGCGAGCACGACTCGGAAGAGTGCAGTGGAATGCAGGAACCACCGGCCACGCCGGTTGCTCGCGACGAACTAGCTTTAAGACGTCACAGATTCTTCTCTGATTTATTACAAGCCGCGCAAAACGCGACGGAGCACAGAGTGAGATTTGACCCACTGGGACCAATGGTGCACGCCGGTTAGCGTTCACCCTAAATCAATTTTTTACTTTCTATGATTTCTAAATTTTCTGTTAGAATTTATTTATTTATTTATTTGAAAGTATTAGATTATAATTGAAACGATTTATTTGTATTTATTAATTATGATTCAGGACGGGAAGAAAATACTTTACTGTGACCATATTCAGTATGTCATGCGAACGTAGATCTTATGAAAACTATTTTTGTAATTGTAACTTAAAGAATTTTTCAATTGGATTGAAAATTTATTTAATATATCTGATTAAATTTTTATCCAGATTACAATATTTTTGTACGGAATTAGATATATTTTAACTATCTATTGCAATGAAATTTATAGTAAAATTTAAAAATTACGAAGTTAACAAGATGAGAATATAGAATTTGTAGATGTCTTTTTGCAAAAAGACGAAGTCTCTTAAAAGATCTTTCTAATTAATATTTTATATACTTGTCCTAAAATACTCTGTATGTATGTATATCGATATTTTTACATTTTTTGTCTGATGTAATTTTTCAATTATATCGTTCATCGAGTAAAAGAGTACAAAATTAAAATGTGTTTTCATAAATATTTAGTTTTAAATATTTTATGCTTTTATTGAAACTTAAACATTATGGATAAACATATCAGTATACTACACTATAGTTGAGATAAAAGAGCGTATTATCTTGTTAATTGTTTCTCAGCGCATTTGTTTTTGAGTTGTGGCAGAAGTTTGAAACTTTATTGTTTTCTACAATTCAACATAGCGTTTCGGCATTAGTCACTCTATTTTTACATTTTGACCTATTTATCTATCAACTTTTGGTGTATTATTTCAAAGATTATTTTTATTTAAAAAATGGAGAATTTTTAAAGTATTTAAAACAGTTGCTAAAAATACTGAAAGTTATAATTACTATTTCTTGAAGGTTCGAAAATTTCATCTTGTTTTAATTACAAGTATAAAACAGCAACAAAATATACATTTTTTACTTTCATATAAATAAGTACATGTCATTGCTTTGTGAAATATTTTGTATTTGAGTGTGTTAACACGATACATGTGTAGATATGTGACGAATTTTTAATTATTAAATATTTATGAATGCGTGAGATTCCATACAAAATGGTACCTACCCACGCATGATTCAATTTTCGCAGATTTCCTAAGAATAGGCCGCGGTACACACCCGCGATGAATATCATTAGAACTGTAGCTTAGTTCTTCAAGCGTTTCTGAGAAGACTAGAAGATTTTGTCTGTAGAAGCTTTTGTTCACGTAGGAATAAATTTTGATTTAAAGTTAAAAGAATAATTAAACGAAGTGTAACTTCGAAGTTAGATTGGTGTTGATAACAAGCTGAAGTATTGGTAACGAATTATTTATTTGTACATTAATTAATTTTTTGATATACATTTAGAAATAGCATAATTTAAGGCAGATTATACTATAATCTTAATTCTTTTACATCTTATGAGTGTTTATAACAATTTAAGTATTGCGAATTTCTTCTGATGTGGAGATTATTATGTTATTCAATATATTTTATTTTTATAGAGTTTACTCAAATGTGTCATTATATGTCATCATACAATTATAATGTGTCATCATAAATTTAATTTGCGTAAAAATTGTCAAGCATACATAAATTTATTTTTAACATTAAATGTTGCTTGCAACATAATGATCTAGTAGCTGTGGATGTTGACATAACTATTTATACATTCGTTCTATATTTAATGTACCCGCTATAAATGCGAACTTTCTGGAGTATATTTTCTTGAATTACCAAAAATTTTATACTATGATTGTTATTAATAATTTGTTAGTTGTAACTCAACAAAATTTTTAGATATTACTTTTCCAAACTGCATTTATTTTATTATTAAATTTGATGAATACTTATATTAAATTTTGTTTACTTTTTATGTGTTTATACTTATTTTATGCAAAATAAAAAAATTATAATTTTTCTATATTAGCTACATCAGAATATTTCTATTTTATAAAAATGTATTGTAATTAAAGGTTGTGAAGCTAGCGATAAGGAAGAACATTTAGAAGAGTTGGTGAATAGATTAGAAAACGTCACAAGGAGATTGGAGAAAGTAAAAGCACAATCTGTTACCGAAACTCAAGATTCTGCTGTTCAAACAAATACACCATCACCAAAACGGTCTCAGCCAGTTAAAAATTGTGAATCAGTACTGTCTGCCTCACCTGTTCATTCAACAGACAAGAAAATATCAGATAAATTTAACAGTATGTCAGTCACAGGCTATGAAGATTTTTTAGCTGGTCCTGTAAAAGAATATTTACAACTGAGTGAAAAAATTGGTGGTGATGTAGCTACCCACAGTAAGCTAGTAGAAAAAGTATTTCAGTTAGTATTGCATCATTCAATTTTTATATTGCATACTCTATATACGTTTATGTAAATTATTAAGTACTGATTTATTTTCCATAGGATTCAGTTGCAATTCATTCAAACTGCAGCAAGTCGCCCAGCACCTGCAAACCAGTCAGAACAAATTTCTCTTCTTGTACCTACATCCAAGCAAATTCAACAAATTCAAGAGTTTCGTGAGAAAAATAGAGGGTCTCAGTTTTTCAATCATTTATCTGCAATTAGTGAAAGTATTCCAGCTTTAGGATGGGTTGCAATATCACCTACTCCAGCACCTTATGTAAAAGAAATGAATGATGCCGGGCAATTTTATACAAATCGTGTCTTAAAGGAATGGAAAGAAAAGTAAGTCTTTGTTATAGATTATTAGTTAAACCTAATAATAAATTAAGTGTTTGCTTATTGTTTTTTGTGATATTTATTTTTGTTTATAAATTAATTACTGATGCAAAATTCATTTAGTCTTTTATATCTACAGAGATAAAGTACATGCTGAATGGTGCAAAGCTTGGATACAGACACTAAGTGATCTTCAGCAATATGTGCGTCAGCATCACACAACAGGACTTGTGTGGGCAAAAACTGGCACTGTACCAACAGGTATACCACCACCACCACCACCATGCATGCCAATGGGAGATATAACACCAGCAAATATTACCGATGATAGAAGTGCTCTTTTCGCCGAAATTAATCAAGGAGAAGCTATTACAAAGAGTAAATTTAATATAGTATTAAATGCTGATTTTATTAAATGACAAGATTTGTAAAATGAATCATTATTTCACAGATTTAAAGAAAGTCACATCAGATATGCAAACACATAAAAATCCTTCCTTAAGAACTGGACCAGCACCATTTAAAGCACCCATTGTCGGTAATGCTATGCCAACAAAAACAGTACCACCAGCAAATGCACCAATTGATAAACCTCCTGTATTTACTAGAGATGGAAAAAAATGGCTTGTTGTAAGTATTTATTATTTTATTTTAATAAAAATTTATTTGATTCATGAGACATATTGTTTTTGTTATAGGAATACCATAAAGGTAATAAAGATTTGGTTATTGACAATGTGGAAATGAACAATGTAATCTACATGTTTCGATGTCAAGATAGCACTTTAATTATTAAAGGCAAGGTTAATTCCGTTGTTATGGATTCATGTCGTAAATCATCTATTGTTTTTGATTCTGTTGTGTCCAGCATTGAATTTGTCAATTGTCAGAGTGTACAAATGCAGGTATGTTATTTAGTTTTACTGTCAATAAAAGATGCATGGCATCTAATAGTTTTGATAAAATATTGTGTAAAAATATATTTATTTCCAATATATATATACAATATAATTACATGAAGTACATGTTCTATATTGGGAAAAAAAAGTGTAATGTTACAAAAATATGAAAGCAATTCTCAATCATGAATTTTATAAGTATAGATAATTAATATTATTTGTGATTTTATTTTACTTAGATTTTTTAACATTCTAATATAAGTTTCTTACAGATGTTTTGCAATTCTTGTAGATGTACAAAATTCGATTCCTGATGGAGAATTTCTAGTAATGCTATATACTCTTCATTGTTTAATTCCTTAGGTGTTCCACGTATTTGAAATTTGTTTAATGTATTTTTTGATGTTTTTGAAATATTATCTAAATCTGATATTGATGTACTTATATCAATAACAGAAGGTTTAGCAGTTACATCGATTTCCCTTTGTTCGACAGATAGGAAACATATATTTTTTAATTTCCCATTTAATAAAATATTTGTCAATGAATCTTCTTCTGTTTTCAATGTTGATAAATTAGTCGTGATATTTTGGTCTAACTCATTATCTTTTATAACGGAAGAAACGACAGTCACAATTTTATGCATCGTATTTTTTTCCTTCTCTGCAAAAATATCTCGAAATTCATCATTTTTTTCTTTAGTTTGATTTTCTTCTAGTTGTTGTATACTTAATTTTCTATTTTTAATATATTCTAGAAATTTAATTGGATCTACTATTTTTGTCGTATTATGGTCATATTTTGTGAATATATTAACATATATTACAATATGTTTTTTTGGAGTGATATTATTGCCAGCATTTTCATTTTTATTGTGAACAATATCTGTTTTTATTGAATCTTGTTTATGATTACCACATGGATCCTTATTTCTTGATTTACCTTCTACTTGAATTTCATCTGCTATATTTGGATTTTTCTCGTATAAACTGTCTTTCCAGAACATAGTCATCGTTAATGGTCCTCTCATTGGACTCTTAGGTCGTGATTTATTTTCGGTCTTTCGAGTTGCTTCCAATCGACTTTTTAGAATTGGTATGGAAGATTTTGAGGACGTTTTCAGTGTTGGTGGTGAAGGTTTTGAAGGACCTTCTAAATGTAATTTAGTTTCGAATGATCGAGTGTGATTTATTGATTTTACGTTACTTGGAAACTCATGTGACCGAAGTGTAACATCTTTTAATGATTCATTTATTTGAAAACTTATTTGCGATTTTTCTTTATTTAATTTAATATTATCTTCTGTATTACATCTAGATACTGTGGATAAATCTTTTAATTTTGAGAATGTTATATTTGTATTATTTTCCTCTTTAATTGGAATATTGTTTAACAAATCAGATTTAAAATTTTTTACATTTTGTAAAGTTATCGGTTTTTTTAATTTTTCACATTTTGAAGTATAGTTTTCATCGCTTCGTGATTCTACTGTCGTGTTTGTTCTTTTCATTATTTTATTTTCTTTCGTTTCTTTTGGAGAAATTTGACGTGAAGATAAATTTGATGAGACAGTATATTCTTCTAAATCTAATTTTTCGATATTATTTATTACCGAACTAGATGGTACTTCATGAGTCAAAACATTTTCTGTGAATAGTAAATTATAATTGTCAGTATCTTCGTATAAAATTGAAGATTTCCTGTTCAAAATTTCGTTTTCTTGTTTTGAAGTTTTTGTTTCATTAATTAACAATGTATCAATATTTTTTGCATAATTGTTGGAAGGAAATGAATCAATTTCGTTCTCTGTTCTATTAGATTCTGATAAAGTTTGTTCCACATTAAATGTATTACTTGATTCTTTGATGATAGATGTGTTAGTATTTATTGTAGTTATGATTTTCGTTTCTTTAGTTTCATTTAATATAGGAGTAGAAAGTGTTTCGGTATTTCCAATATTTTTTAAATTTTCATCTTCATAATATAATTTATTTTTCATATCATTTTGTGTGTACATATTAAAATAATCTCTAAAATTTTTTGATTGTGCATTATTTAATTTTGTAGTAGAACTTGAAGCTTCATCTGTAAAATATATACTGCTGTGTGGAGAAATAAGGTTGGAGTAAGATTTATAAAAGTCCATCTCATTAATCAATTCTTTTTTATTTAGATCTGTAAATAAATTTTCTACAGTCGAATTATTTTTCTCATTTTGAATTTTATCATTTTTATTATAACAAATGTCTGTTTTCTTATAGTTATTTATGTTTGTTGTATCATATTTTTGAAGAGTAATCATATTTGTTGAACATGTTTTTATATCATTAATACCATCATCACTGAAATCGTTATTAATATTCGACCAGTCTAAACATAATTTTTCTTCATTTAATTTCTTGTTGATTAATACTGTTACAGAAGGTGGTTCTGGAATGTTAGAATCATTTGATTGATTTATACTGGATGTTAATGAATCCTGTATTAAATTTGTTTCAAGTGAAGTTGTTTTACTGTCACTGGGTGATAACTCATATATTGAATTTTTAGTTGCAATCATATTGTGTATTTCCAATCTTTCATCTACATTTGTGTGTAATGTCGTTTGTTCGATTAATGAGCATGCACCAGGATTTCTTTTTAAAATCAAATTTGGGTTGCATGATAAAATTTCATGATCTTCTATATATTTTTTACTATCTGATACATTTAGTTTTACATTTAATGTATTGTCTTTTGTATTTTTAGTATATTTAATATTGGCATATTGATTTAAAGATTCGGCGCTCAAAAAATTAGGATCCATATATTTGTTTGAACTTTCAAATTTCTCTTTCAAAGGAATTTCATCTAAATTTTGCGAAAACAATTCCGCATTATCAATATTTCGGTTTATAAATTCATTTATATCATTCATACGTATGAAATGTTCTTTGTATCTCTCTTTTTCATATATATAATCATAACATGTTTTTTGTTCATTTATATTTGCTTTTGTTGTATCCAAACAATTTGCAAATGTCATAAGTTTTTCATCAGACTTATCTAAAGTATCATTCAAACATTTTATTTGCAAATTATTTGAAATAACTTTTAAGGACTCGTTTCCTTGAAAATGGTTATGCTTTGATAAAGATAGTCGATTATTATTAAATCTATCTCTTTCCTGAGTTATATTACAAAAGCTAAAATATTCAGAGGATGAATCAAGACTGTGTTTTGAGTCTAAATATTTTTTATGTGTAGTTAAATCCCTTACATCATTTTGTTGGGTAAAGTCTAATACATTATTGTTGAATTGTTTATCTTGTTTCAAATTGAAAAACATATAAGTTCTACTTGCTTTTTCAGTAGAACTGCTAACCGATTGTTCCTCTGATATAATGTCTAAAACTTTTGATTGGAAATTATTATCAACATAAGAGTGTTTCCCATGATCTAATATAGATTCATTATCTATCTCTGTTTTCTTGTCATTTATGTAACATAGTTTTTCCAATTCAACGCGCGTTAATAGTGCCTTCTTGAATTGCAGTGCTTCTTGAAGTAACAATGCTGTTGATTTATCTTCACATTCACTTTCTTTTGATATTTCTGTGTGACTTGAAGTTGGTGACATTATTGTATCTTCGTCAGTTTCCATTGGAATTGGATATTGGTCAAAGGAACTGATTGATTTTGTTTGACTATTCTTTATGTATACATCTGGTAATATGAAATTTTCTGATACAGATATTTTCTTCTTAATTTTCTTTCCCTCAGAAGAATCAGATGAAATAGAATAATATATTCTCTCAGGTATTTTTTCATATGTGATACTAGAGGAATATACAATCTGATTATTTGGAATTATATTTAATTCATGATTACTTGTATGAGGTATCTTTGGCTCAAATTTTTTCATAAGTAAATAAGCAGAATCATCTATATTATTTATACGATATGCGTTAAACATATTGGAATAATTTTGAATAGATACTATAGAATTTCTGTCAGTTTCGTCACTTTCATATTGTTCAGAACTGTTGGAAGTTGTTTGTTCAATTTCCCTAGTATCATTTCTGGTATTATTATTAAAATTCATTTTATTTCTTTTGATTTTGTTCTTGTTATGAACTTCTATTGTAGCTGAGACAAGTGTGTTTGTGGTGTTCTGAGAAATGCTATTTGTTTTATTATTGTTTTCTTGTTTTTCTGGTGTTTTTATTTCAACATTTTGCAACTCATACATGCGCAGGACATTGTGTAAGCTCTCTAACTTTTTTTTTACTTGGTATAATGCTTCTTGAGACGTTTTCATATATTTTCCGCGTTCACATGATTTTGGAACTAACATTTTTGTAGTTAATTGCTGGGGAAATATATCAGCACAAAATGATATATTCATTTTTGGAGGTAGTAAACGTTTATCAGTTAATTGTAGAACTGGGTAAATTGCATTTGATAGCTCTAAACATTGTTCATTATTTTCTTCTTTTTTATCTGTATTTTCAATGCTCTCCTTTTTAATTTCTTTTTTCTTATTTCCATTTTCTTGGATACCTCCATACAATTTAATTTGATCTTTTACAGGAACACATTTTTGTTGCTATAATAGAATCAGATATGTCATTCTTATATTCATACTATTTTTGCAATATTTCGTTCAATTTACCTGTACATCTGACCAACAATTTTTAATTGGAAGTCCATTACTACTTTCGGATGAACTGCTAATCAATCCAAGATTTTTATTGCTCTCGTGTAGTTGCTTCAAATATCGTTTGCAATCGTCCATGGTTTTCATATATTTCTTACAAGTCGAACTCATCTTCCTGGTTTCAATGTTCTTTGATCCTCTTCTCAATTTTTTTCCAGACTTATTGTATCTTTTTCTTGAAAATAGTGGAACGGATATTGCATTTCGATATTGCGCATCAAAATTTTCGTTTCTGAATGTTTCACGATGTCTCTGGTTGATCATATTTCTAAACTTAAAATTTATTCTGAAAATAAAATTGTATTAATATGCCAATAATATATTTCAGACAACATTTTGTTCATATGATTGTACTTTAGAGATTTATCACTGCTGCTTTTGGAAGATTTACTGCTGTGTTCTAATGGCAAATTTTCTTGTCTGAGATAGTGGTACATACTTTTTTTCTTTGCATCAAACAGTTCTGTTAGATGGTATTCCGAAGGATAATACTTTGAGTATGAAACATATGATTCGTTTTGCCTAGGGCTAAAAGGAGCACAAACAGATGTTTCAATTTTTAATAAAATTCTATTAGAATTTTAATGTTAGACTCACGAGTAATTTATGATATTTATGGGAATTAGATTTTTTACTAAAAGTTAAAAGATGAAAAAGAGAGGTACAAAGTGGAAAAGATGTTTACAATTTATAGATATGATTTTAAGATTTTGATAAAACTAAAAAATGTTGGTATTTAATGATATATAATCTCATGAAAAAAATAATAAAACGAAATAAATTATTTCAGTATTATAGTATATATTTATTTTACCTTAATAATACATGTTTAATCCAATTATTGCGGCCATTAGGATTAGATAGAGTTAGTCTAAGATTTCGCAAATTCTTCCTGAAGTGTGATTTTTTAATTTGATGAGGTAAAGGCCATGTACCATATTGGAGTTTATATGTCAGAATGTTAACTTTCAATTCAAGGTCTTCCATTTTATATCCAACTTTATTGAGGATGTTTTTATCCATTGCAGTGTCATTACATTTTGGTTTGGAACATATTATACGTAGTAGTATAATGCATATCAAAAATATAGCCAGTACCTTCAATGTTATTAACATGATTAATCAAATATTTTTACTATAACTATACATTTCTTTTTCTTTTTCTCTTTGGCAAATCGTGAACATAGCGTTCAGATATAAAAAGTCTTATCAGTTGCAAGAACTTACCTGACCGCTATGTTCATATATTCATAGACTTCTAATTCGATATTCATTGCAAGTCAAAAATAATAATTCTCTGTACCCGCCAGATTGTGCTTTCATTCCTTAAACAGTCGAGGACATCAGTTACAATTTCACTCCAAATATAATTTGCTATTGCTTTTGGACATTCTTTCCAGTCAACTTCACAGATCATTTGGACAGGTTCAAGATTTCCGCCTGTGTATATTAATTAAGTGCTTAATGATTTACATTTCAAGCAAGGAAATTGTTGTGAAATATTACAAGGTTTTGCTTGATTTGGATCATTGAATTCTAATTATACTTTTAAAAAATTCTAATTGTAGTTTGAATTATAAAACTTTAATTATAGTTCAAATAGTAAATGCGAAAAGAATATTACCGAATTGCCAATGCATCTTGAAAAGAGGTCTGTTATGTTAAATGTGGTGTAAAAATCTATCTATACTACATGAAATGTAGAAAATGCATTTGGCAATTGTTTCTCGACGCATAAATATCGATAATGTGTATAAAGTGTATTCAAGATTAATTTACTTTTTGTTCTTCAATAATTTCAGGTACTAGGAAAGGTTCCCACAATCTCTATAGATAAAACAGATGGTTGTCAGATGTATTTGAGTTCAGAATCATTAGATGTTGAACTTATTAGCAGCAAATCTAGCGAGATGAACGTTATGGTTCCTCGAGTAAATGGAGATTATGTAAGTTTTTATAATAATAAATATTTGAGCCTGTAGTTTCGTGCATTTTCATATATTTCTATTTTAATTCTTTTATATCTTTTGTAGGCAGAATATCCCGTACCCGAGCAATTCAAAACAACTATCAGTCCCAAAGGTCTTAGTACGATCGCAATTGATTCATTGGGTTAAACTTCGGTGATTCAATTATCTATAGCCTAACTAAATGTCTGTCTAAGAGTACAGCTCATTAGAGGTATCATCATCTGCGAATTCGACGATTTATTATTTATTGCTTCTTTAATTAATTTAAGAATTAGGAGAAGGGCGAGGAATTAGAGAAAGACGCAAGTACTCTTTCGAAAGTATAGAATTGAATTAGATAAATCGATTAAATGTTTTAATATTAGAAGTCCTATATTGTTTCGAAGGTATTTGCGCATTTCGTGGAGATTATCGATTCTATAGAAAATAAAATTAGAATCACGTTAAAATGACGCTCAATTGAACGAGTCTTATTAAATTTATGTGTAAAACACTGAAGTGTTCGATTGTCTATGACTCGATATTTTGTAATATAGTCTTAATTAGATCCTTAATAATTGTGATTCGTCTAACAGGTGATAATGAAAGAAAATGGAATCGACATTCTTCACGAATATGTTATTATGCACGTTGGTGCTGAGATGACGAGACTGTAAGTTGGACTAAATGCAGGGGTATGGACAAAAGTTTTTCTACCTTTGAATCGGACCTTTTATACATTTACACCATTTTTTATCGTGATTAAACTTTTGTCCACACTAATCGCTTCTCGAGATTTTTCAGTCGATTCGCCATGGAATTGCCACTTGACGTTTTCGGGAAAAAAGCGAGCGCCGCACGTATAAACAGTTTTTGAGAGAGCAAAATCAAGAAACATTCACGAGTCATTTATAAAGCGTTAGGGATATCATATCGATAGCTCATTGTATTAATTTTAGACTTTCACAGAATGTTTAGTTTTGCTATTGTTTTTGTACGTTGAATTATTAATTTTATAATATAATTCGTATTAATTGGAAATAAATTATTTCGTGTTAGTATATGCAACATGCCTTCACTTCGTATGATGATTTTGAAATTTAAGCTTTCAGTTTGCGAGTCTTCCGTATTTATAAATGTTCGTGATGTGTAAATAGAATATGATGCTGAATTTATTTTATGAGTAACAATCGATCGTTTACGCGCGTAAGTTTGAGAACCTTCAGATTCGAGAAATATACGTAGATAAAAATGATCAAAAATACGGTTGTGCAAAAGTCTTGATGGTCTAGCCGCGAATGAAGAATGCTCCAAAATAATAAATGAATTGTAAACTCGATATTGAACTTTAAAAGCGTGCTGTTTGGACGTGACGTAAATTACATTGTGATTTTTACCACTTGGTATATTGTGCTAATCGTAGGTATAATCTAATATTAATACTACTTAAAGGCACGATCTAGAATGACATGATCATAATAGAATAACAATGAAACTAGCAGTTCGATCCTTTCTAAGAGAGGAACGAAGGAAAATCTCGAAAGAGACACAATTTTTCTATCATTTATATGGTACTAAACATGTTTGATTACAGAGCGATGATTATTTGACTGAAATTATTTACTCTAAGGATCGCACTGCCTGTAAAGCAGTATCTGTAACAGCCTTCGTTTCAATATTGATAGAATATTATATCGAGAATAATTAATATTTATTTCTGAATATGATTTTCAGTGCTATTTCTAATTGTCCTAATAAAACAAATTAATATACCATTTACATCTTGTTGTATCATACTTCTTTACACTTTTCAAGAAACAGATTAAGTTATTAGCTTTAATATGACCTACGTTAATGTTTAATTTATATTTAAATAACAATATTGTTAATTTTTATTGTAATATTTCATATAAAAAGAAAAAGAAATACGAATGCCTCTTCTTCTTAAAAATTCTTATTTATTAGCATTAAAAGAATCTTTTTACATAATTAGATACGAGATACATATATATACACGTTACGTTGAACTTACGGGGAGACTGAAATAATGAGTACGATATACATGGCCTTGAGATTCGTTTTGTAATCAATCCAAAAGAATCAAAATGCCAGGTTCGACTAAATATTCCTATGCTAACAAGTATTTCTGAGTCAATCACGGGTGACTCAAAAATACTATTTATCGCGATTATTCATGTCGCTTTCGAATGAATTAAATCGCGAACGATCTTCTAATGCATAGTTATTAGTAGATATACTCCTGCGAGTCGAGCACATTAATGTTTACTATCAAACGCAAAGATAATTGTATAGAAGAGCATAAATCAGTGTTAACAGTATCGTTAATTATCATTAATAGCCGAGATTTTTTGAAACATTCCACACCGATGTTCAATACACTCTCTAACATTTATCTTAAACTTTTGATTTCTAGCTATGTATTGCACATCTATATAAAATCAATGAACCTTTAATATTTCACAGCGGAGTTTTCAAAGATAGATTGAAACTTTTATACTTTCATTATGAAATGCTTTTTAGTACCAAAGTTTCTATCAATTATTTATTTATTTAAACAGTTATTTTGTCTTTTAAATATTCATTTTATCTGTTTTCTGTCTTTCAATTCATTTTCGATAAACAGAATAATGATTCAAATTTGTCTTTCATAAATTTAAATTTTTTCATTGATTAATTCGTTTATTCAACGCGTATGATTGAACAAATAAATATGAATACGATCAGTCTTCATTTCACTACAAATTAACAGGGCAATTACGTTCATCACTACCGTCCGAACATTCCAAGAACCCATTGCATATTCTGGATTTCGGTAAACACTCGCCAAGTGGACATCGATGACCTTTGCAGGAAGCTATCGAGGATCGAATATCTTCTCTTGAGATCACATATTCGACCCACGGAAGATAGTGATATACTTTTGTGTAGACTCCAGGTCTTCCAGGTCTGGCACAACCATAACCATTAGAAGTGATGCCTGATGGAAAGTACAATGTAATTTCAATACACTTAATTGTTCAAGTATAAATTAATAATATAAATCTATCCAAGCATCAATTACTCTATGATCTAAATAAATTAGCTATCCAAGGCTTTACACTAAGAAATACTATTCTAAAACTTACTCTTGTACTATTTATTTTTATCATTTTATTTTTGTTCTTTTAAAATAGTTGAAAATGAAGAATAAATATAACGAGTAAATAATATGACAGGATTTATCATTTCATGGCCTTAGATATCTCGTTATCTCATTATTTAGATATATACTTTCTTAGGTATATGTACATTTTACATAAATCACGCTTTATATAATTTATCATTGATAAATTATAGTGTCTGATATGTTATCAGTGACTTTTTATTACAAATAGATGTGTTTACCGTGAAGGGTGTACTTGTCTGATCCTGAGCAAACCAAAGGTCCACCACTGTCTCCTAAGCAAGCGTCTCTCCCACCATCCTTCAATCCTGCACAAAGCATACCAGATGTAATCCTATATAATGGAAGGAACAGAGTTTTTCTTCGACACTCCTCCGTTGAAATAACAGGCAGTTGTACTTCTTGCAAAGTATCCGCTGTTTAACAGACATGACATTAATCAATGCAGTTTTTCGTAGATACAACGAATATTCGTTTAATAATTATATTTACGAAATATTCTTCCGATTTCAAATAACTGTCCCCAACCAGTCACTGTGCACATGGTTCCACTTTTTGGTTCCGACTCTGGTAGGCATACTGGTCGAACGTAATCGCTAAAAGTTACTGGTTCTTCAAGCCTTAGCATCGCTATGTCGTTTATGAATCCATTGTCGATGTAATCAGGATGGAGGGATATGTGATCCAAACGCAATACTTGTTCATATGGACTGGGAAAGCTTCCCCTACGAGTCGCTCCGATTCTCGCGACCCAATACTCGTCTTGAGCACTGCAAGAAATATTGTAATATACTATTAAATATTTTATTTCTAAGATAATATAAAAATAAAAGGGAAAATATTTTTAATAATTATAAATAGTAAAGAATAATTTGTAGCATCAAAAACTCTTAATAGTATTAAATTCTCCAACAATTTGTATTAATTTTCATTGAAAGAATGAAGTTAAAATTTCTATTATAATTTCTTTATTTGAAATGTTGATATTTCAGTATTCTATTTAAGTTCAACATTTTTTAACTGATTTTACTTCCTTTATATATCTTATGTATTATTATCAATTTACTTACTGATAAAAGCAATGTGCTGCAGATAAAATCCATCTTTCGTTGATAAGAGCTCCACCACATTGATAATCACCTTCCTTGTATAAAGCTACTTGCCATGGCCAGCTTCCAGCTGAAGAACTACCACCTCCTACTATCCTGGAATGTCGCGAAACATTCGATCTGTTTCAATGCATACATCTTATACAAGTACTTTTATCTATATACTTCCTTTATATAAGAATAATATATAATTGTACAAAAATACGTTACTTTTTTAATTTTTAAAAATTATTGATTTCTATTTTTGTATTCAGTATCTTAAATGTTTGCAAATGAAATACTAATTGTAAGTTTCTAAACAGAAACCAGTACGTATAATTTTTTAAATAACGCTATACCTTTATGTATGAAATTTTGTATAAAAAAAGAGAAGAAGAAAACATAATGTATAGGTTATATCATGAAATTTGTCTTTTTTTGTCTTGTAATTTTGTCTTATAATATCATTAACATACAATTATTTGTGATTATGTGTAAAATATTTCTTACAATAATTATTACTTGTCAACGAAATTCATTAACGATTTTAAACTACCAGAAAGTATTGCCAAAAAAGAAGAAAATGACAGATATTTCCGGCGGATTTAATGTAATATTCTTGCAAGCTCCGATAAAAATTTATGACCGTATATATCATGGTATAGTTACTTATCTCGATCGATAACGATCACGGTAATTCTAATTTTATGTAGATCGTTTGTAACATCTTTTTGTGATCAATATGTTGTTATTATGGAGGCACACAGGGGGCATTATCCCGAGTGCATTTGTATACAAATAGTTTTGCAAATGATCCGGTCGGCGTATAATTATGAGAAACTGGTTCAGTGAGTGTATACCTGGCCTGGGACGGTGCCTGCGTTCTTATTCCGCACTCAAGGTTCTTGCACTTGACCCTGAGAATCTCGCCACTTGGGCACTCAGAAGGTTTGAAAGTTAGTATCGTCTTATCCAAGGGTTTCTCGTTATATGACAAAGTGTAATACGATCTCATAGATGTTGGATTTTCGTCTAATACTTTTTCCACGGTTTCGTAATCCCTGAAAAATATTTACAGCAAATTAGTAAAGAATTTCTTATACTTTGTTTTATATTATATAATTGTATTGTTGGAAAGATTTTTTCTACCGTTTAAAGAAATTTTACTCCATAAATTTTTGTTGTATATATGGTCAAATGTTTTAGTCATGCCAAGAATAAATAAAATATTTAGCTAATAGAGTTACACGGGACTCCTTGTACTTATAAGGCAGGATATTATGCAATACTTACTGATATGTAATCGCTTTGCAAACTGCTCTACCGAGGTCTTCGATGGTCCAAGCAGCTTGTCTTTCTTGCAGTAGGTCATCCATTTCATTTAGACACAATTTTCCCCATTTTCCATTTTTTCGGATATTTAAATAACCCCTTTCGTTGTAATTGTTGATCTCTTTCTTTAAATTAACTATCGATGTTTTGTCGTTGTTTTTCGAATTTACATGGATTGAATTTCCTTGTGCTAAAATGTCTTTCGCGTTTGATGATATCTCTCTTCCAGAAACCAGAGTTGTAGCGTTAATTTCCTCCTTAATCACAGGTTCATGTTTGATACTTATAATTTTTTCTAATTGAATATCATCTTTGAATGCGTGCAAAGTAGTTGATTCTGAGATGGAAGATTCCACTGCTTCTTGATCATAAAGGATGTCCTTGTTAGTGGTGGATTCTATTTCTGAAAAGTGTCCTTGAGATGATGGATGTTCGTCTTCAGTTACGCTGGTCTCAGAATTATTCTCGTCCTTAGCGAAGGTACTCGTTTCTTCGTAATTTAATGCTGAATCGTCTTCTATCAGTGCCGCGCATTTCTTCTCGTCCTCCCCTCCTGGACAGTCGGTATAACCATTGCAAACTTTATCTTGGTTTATGCAGGACCGGCTGTTGCCGCAAACAAACTGACCATCTTCGCACCAATCTAAGAAATCAAAAAAATATGAATAAATTTTTAACAAGTGGGATACATAGTCAATAAAACTTTCTTGATATAATTCGGTTATGTAAATATCTACCATAGTAAAAGTATTTGATATGTTATTAATATTAGTATACTAGTATTAATAAATAGTATACCACAGTCTGTTTCGTCTGAATAATCCCAACAATCCGCCACACCGTCGCAAATCTTCTGATGTAAAAGCTGTGTCTTTAAGAAATCGGCGCACGTACAGTTTGCTTCGTCCTCTGAATTCGGGCATTCACCTAACATGTTGCATCTGCCGCTGGAAGGCAAGCATTTTCCATCCTTGCACAGGAAACCGAAACAACGATCTACAAAAACGTACAACTGATGAGAATTTTAAGTCACGACTAAAGTTAATAAAATCATCGAATACCTCCTTACAACCCTAACAAGACAATTACCAGTTTCCAAATTCTCTTCAGTAGTTGAAATCATCTTGTCAGTACGGTCCTCCATCTTATTTAAAATTTTGGTGAATATTTCAACGCCATCACGAGTCATTGTGAATCCCGCGCTGGAGTTCATCAGAGTTTCGTTTCCTGTCGCGATATCAGCTATTTGTTTCAGTTTCTCGAAGTCAGGCAAAGGTCGATAGTCTTCCTTAGATTTTACATTAGCTACATGAGATTGTAACATCCCTGGTCTAGAGCTATTCTTACTTTTTACAGGCTCGTTTACTGTACCTATTTCAGCGAATTGCTTGAGTTTTTCTAAAAGAAATCTATTCTCTTCTAATGTGGAGATTTTCCTATCTGATGTCTGTACGTCTGTAGCTGTTAAAGATGGAGTCTTCTCAGTCCATACCGATGTTCCCTTGTTTGAGACTTGGTCTCTGAACGACCTGTTTTCTTCTTTGTTATTGTCAATGACAAATTCCTCGGGTACTGATATTTGCGAGGTAGACACTTCTGCATGGGATTCGGAGTGTATCACAGGAAGAGAGGTGGAATTGGTGACCACGAATTTTAATATAACAGGATTCCCTTTGAAGTTCGAGGACACCTTAGTACTGATCGATGTCACAACTTCTACTATTTGTTCTACTCTAGGATGATTTATGTTTGAGTCCTCTTCTTCATTTGTCTCGAGATTCATGGGGTCTTGATGGTTGGATGAATTTCGTTTCGTGGTATTTCTGTCGCGACTGGGTACGCCAAATAATTGTTCCAATAGGACTGTATTGTCGGAAGACGTCCGATTGCTGGATTTATCGTCGATCCTCATCGTTTTCTCCCGATCAATCTTGGGTCTTGGTCTTATGGGTCTACCGATACCTGTGTTACTCTTAACAGGCGCTAGTGTGACCAAATTTTCCACCACATAAGCTTTCAGGGTATCGTTATAAATCTTCTTCCTAGTTTCAAAGGAATTATATGGACGATTTACAGTCCCATTAAAAAGCCAATTATCCCCTCCGATTTTCGTTGGTGATATATTCTCTGACGAACTGAAATCTTCTTCGACTTCACCAGGGGTGTGTTTCAATGTGTCGATTTCGATAAAAGTAGAATTCCTAGAAATATTGGATGTTAACCTTCCTGGTGGTGTCTCCTTATTTCCTTCTTTTCTTACAACTAATTTATCTATGTTATTATACAAGGGATGTATCATTTCTGAATAAACTTCCGTTGTGCTTAACTTTAGAAGCTTATCATCATCTATTACGCTCTCGATATTCGATTCAGTTGGTCTTACATGTTCAGATGATTCGATTTTTGCATCTTTTGTTGGGTCATTTGTTTCAGAATCGTTGTTTTGCTTTTTCACAAAAGTTTCTAGTTCAATGATCTCCTTCAAATTTTCTGGCAAAACCTTAAGTGCCTCTTTTTCTTTACCCTCTTTGCTCTCTGAGACTGTGCTTAATCGACTAACCTCGGTGAATTTTTCTTCTTGATTGATTATGCTGTCTGTCACGGTGTTAATTTCCTGCTTCAACGACTCTTGTTTATCATCCTTGCTGTAATTAACGACGGATGTAATTTTGTCTACAGGTATCGTATGTCTAAACGGTTTCAGAGTACCGGAGCTCTCGATTAAACTTGGCCTCATTACGGCTCCATTTAAATCTGGTGTTTTGTAGCTGGTGTACACCGGTTGTTGCACATTTTTATCGACTTTTCTATCTTGCAGTGCGTTATTTTGTTTGACTATAGCTTGGATGTCAGAATAACGATTCCTCGGTTCCAGTTCAATGTCCACATCCGGAATTGGCTCTGCTACTCCTACTCCTGACACCTTAGTCGTTGATTCCTCGTCGGAATCTGACTGAACTGGCTTCTGTACGTGCCACCGAGGGGTACTGGATCCTACTGAAGGTAAAAAATTTTCAGAACTCTCCTTGTTTCTTAAATTGCTTTGATCTACCCTCTTTTTATTCATTTTAATAGAATCGCCAGAATTCCTAACATTGTCACTTTGTTTGCCGACAGTATCCTTGTACCTACTGTCTGTTACTGTGTACGTGATCTGCGACCCAGGAACTCTCCAACCTGTTTCGTTTTCATTCGTCGACCGATGGGGTTTCGTGGGAGAAAATTCCATGGGCTGGGAAGAAGAAAGCCCAAGAGGTTGCGAAGAAGTTCGAAGCCTGATGTCATAAGTTTCGGATGGTAACTGGCCAGAAACTTCTATGTCCGGCCTTTTATTGTCTAACTGAACTGGTGAGGTTTCTGTAAAGATCTGCCCATCTTCCAATAATCCTGGAATTTTATTTTTAAACTTCCCATTTACTCTAAAATTCACCATTTCCTGAGGAACAATCCTATCTCGTGGAAAATCAGTGTCTCCAATATCAAAGGTGCTCATCCCTGGAACGTCTAAATATGAATTCAACATCTCTGATGATTCAGGAGATTTTGTGTTAGATGCTGGTAATTCAGGAATTTTTCCTTGAACACTATATTGGAGAGTTCTCTCGGTTGTGTTATGAATGTCTTCTTGATTGGTATTACTGTAATTCACTTTGTAATTCGTTTTTGTTGTTTTTTCAACATTATCTGGCAATAATTTTAATTCCGTGTTAATGTAAGATGGTATAATTGGTTTCCATGGTGACGTTTCGAAGTCAGGCTTGTGGAAATCCTTAAAGAGATCTTCATTTTCGACTTGGGTCGTAGAAGTCGTAGACGTAGCGTCTATCTTGGCAGACTCAGAATATGTATCACCGGACGATTCATCGTGTACGGTGTAATTAACTTTTTCTTTCAATTTGCTCGTTGTGTACGTGATACTTTGAGTTGACTCGGTGATGTCTTGTATAGTGGTCGGTTTACTTGTGGTCTGTTCTTGAGGTAAGTTTACTTTGGTATTATTTCTTGGTTCGGATTGAACTTTATTAATTTCCTGAGTAGAGTTCAATCTATTTGGAGAAGTAACATTCACCTTTGTGGCTTTGTACGTTCCCTGAATTGTTGGTATATTACTGAAATCGATGTCAGGCTCGGTGGATTCGACCTTAGTCGGTTTGGATTTTGATTTCGAACTCGTGATTAAGGAGCTGTTTCTATTGGGTCGAAGCAGACCGTTCTTCGTGATCATTGCATTCTTTTGTTGGGCTTGCTTCTGACTCGCTGATACCTCTTGACTAATTCCTAAATGAATAAGAAAGAAATATTATAAATACATTACTATTTTAAACTCAGTTTTAGATAAACGCTATTTTAGACATTTATGTAATACTTATTTGTAGTTATTATACATGTTACAAGTGTCCTGATATTTTTGAGTTATAGTATATATTTTTCTTTAATGTATTTTTGAAATATCGTGTAATTATGATATTACTGTTTTTATCACAATCAATCGCTGTTTCTAGCGGATGCTCACTTTTTACTGATATACTAGTGAGGTCTAGTTCCATATCCTTGAACAAGGAGGACGATGAGTACGTCTCCTTCGCGATAATATCTTCGATCGTGTCCTCGACGTTCGTGATCGATCGTGGTATCTTTCTTCTGTCTAGATATATCCTGAAGAACACCTTCAAAATACCACTTTCGAATTTGTCTATGATCGTCTGCTTATAAGCGATGCCTAATACGCTTCTTCTAAATAATAGTTCAAACTGAAATACATTAGTCATTTGTCAATTATCAGGATCCCTATTTTTAAACATAAATTAAGTCTATATAGTATAATACTGATTGTCACGCTTACTATATTCTTGTATTTACGTTCCTTTTCGCGGAATACCATACTAGTGTTTAACTTCAACATTGGATTATATTTCTCACCCTTAGCCACCCTGAAAGTACAGGAGAACCCAACGATCGCTGAAAATATTTCAACGAGTATTATTTCTCTTAATTCGTTATAATATACATTATTATAAATAATAATAATTTATAAATAATTAAATAAACATTATAAATAATTACATACATATGATACGTATTAAATAGTATTAAAATAAATTGTTAAAAAATGCAATCCTTACCATTTTTGGAATCTGTTCGAAGAGCTGAAACAGAATGAATTTTCTTATAAATATTTTTTAATTCATTTAGTATTAGCTTAGAGGAAGTATCGCTAGATAGACCTCGTGTCATAAAGTATGAACGAACCTCCCATCCATAACGCCAATCCTGCAATTGCGAAGACAGCAATTAATACTAACATAGCGGAGACAATTAACATCGCACTACCGACTTTCCATGTAGTGCTGCCCCTTTGTTTTTTCGTTTGTTGTGGTGAAACTCTGGACCATGTTGAGCGTGGTGGTAGATAATAATCGTTCTACAATTCACAAAAACATATCTAGTTTAATAAAGACATCACGCTATCAGAAACGAAAATTTTGTTAAAAAGAATGATCTTATTAATGTATCTTACTATTAAAAGTTGCTCTTCGTTTTATAATAAAATACTTCTATACTATGTCAACATTTTTTTTAATAGTTATTTTAGTACAATATTTTAGTACCAGAATATTCATCAATTGGAAAATATCTTTACGCCAACCAGTTTTAAATTAAATTGTTTTCCATTCCCTCTTTTGTTGGGTAAACTTCTTCCACTTCAATTCACCTGGTAATTTGTGCACATTTGGTGGCTATTTTTTACGTTACCATAAGCTCATATTTATTGTGTAGAAAAATTGTGTCGAGAATGTAATATTCTAAGACGCTTATGCTTAAGTATTGCTGGTAGTTTCTTCGAATCAAGCATGTATTTATTGACCAACTAACCGGTGCTATTCAACGATTCAATAATCGGAACGCGCAATAAATTTAGTCAGGTGTACAGTAATACCAGTAACGGTACTGGCGTCGAGAAGGAATGCTTCGAAAAAAAAACAGGAATGTTTCCAAAGTCAAGCACGGCAGGTGGGACCATACAGAAAACTTAGTATTAACTTCGTTCAGCATCTTGTGGAATGCAATAGTTGGAACGAACATAACCCTGTACAGTTACAAAAGTCTGGTTATTTATACTGATTGGTATGACAGTTTCGTTGGTAATGTTAATATAGCATACATATAAAAACGGGTACTTTATTACAGCTTCCAAAAATAGTATGGTTTCATTTATTTTGTATCCTTTGTAAATTTGCATACATTTGTCTTTCCTTTTTTTCTTAACTTTTGACTTCTTAGATCAAATTTTCGTCACAAGAGTGAAAACATAAAAGATTTTATTTAATATTTGTCTTAAACACATATTTTTCATCTTAGTAAAGAAAAAAATATTGTTTTAGTAACTTTTCTTAAAAATATATTTTTGTCATTGATAATCATTATTTTGAAAAATTATTGTAATATTTTGACAGTATTAATAATTTAAAGTGATATTAATTGATAATACTGGTTGTTAAATCGTCAACACAGTCAAAATATTATAATAATTATGAATAACTACATTGTGAAAGTTACCATAAAGGTACTATAGCAAGTCACTATTACTCTACGGATTTCATCTATACAGAGAAATTTCGTCTGCCAACAATGTTCGACAGTCATAGAACATATCGTTATATTCATTTATGTGTATCTATATAAAAAATATAAGGGAACTATAATACTTTACAATTTCTAATTGTATATAATCAAATAAAAATAAAGTGTAAAAAATACGGTATTTTAAATGAAAATTTGTATTATCGTCAAAACCCAAAACTTACCACGCTTAAAAATATTTCGTATGTGATTTATATAATGTATCTCTTAAATATATAAAAGTTTCAACTTCTAATATAACGTTCTGATCGATGATCCTTTTGTTCTTTGTTTCAATCAATCGATATTCACCTGTAACAGTTCACGTGACTCGCTTCGTACACAGAACGTAAAAAATGTGATCAGATTACGAACACGTTCGAATTCCGTGGAAATAAAATTTATGCGTACGATGGCACATATAATCGGGGACAAAGAAAAAAATGGTGTGCTTCAAGGCTCGGTTAGTGGACCAGCTCAACGTTATTCCCACTAAAGTCTGAAAAATGGAAAAAAACACAACCGTGGAATGGAATATGCTGTAACGTTTGTCACGGTCGGTTGCGACGCGAGATTTATCGCAGAAACCATGCGTGAAATCACCGAATCGATGATCGATACATAGAAAGTAAACCATCTGAGGAATGCGTATTCAAGGCCGTTTTTCGAGTAACAAAACAATGAAGGCACGTAATCGTGGAGATTAGAAAAATCGCAGTCTCGAGGTATCTTTCTCGTTTGTTATTATTTTTATATTAGATTTCTTATAGTTACAATATCGAAGGCTGAGTCGATGCGAATAGCCTTTAACATCTGTCACCATCTAGCGTTGATTCAACGTAGCCTGACGTTGATGCGAAGTTAACGACTTGATCGAGGATGAAAAATAATTTCACGCTCATGAAGTTCGATAGAAACCTCATGGCCATGAGAAATGAAGAAGTCAATGTGTACACTGAGGTCGTTGCCTCGGGGAATCGAAAACGAGGAACCGAATACCCGAAGAGCAAACTCTGACGCAAACTGTATATCATTATCCCAGAGGGTACATAATACTTTGTTTTTTATCGTAATATCAGTTGCATACGATGTATATAAATTGATTGGTAAATATATGGAAAGAAAGATAATTCTTAAAAGAGTTATTTGTGAGATGCATATTGGAAACATTTTCTCATAAATTATAAAAATAATAGATATAAGACAGACACTGTGAAGGTAATGATGTTCCGTCTATTTCATTTATAAACCTGGTTATCCAGTGCTCAATGTGTATATTACGTATCTTTAGAAAGATAGAGAGCAGCACAAACGAATAAATAGCCATCATGTAATTCGAATATTGGCTTTTTATATTTCATATAAAACATATCGAGGAATCACATCCGTTAAAGCGTTTTCATTTAAATTCGAGGTAATATAATATACTATTATGAGAAAATTATTATTATTATATAGTATAATTAGATTATTACTATATAATTTTTCTCTGCTTCCAACAGATCTGTCGGTATACAGTGTTAGCAAATGGAATCCCGTCACGAACTCGAGGTCTACATAATCTACTTTGCCTCGCGTGCTGAACTAGAGCGTTGGACTTCATCACGATTCCTTCGAACTTAATGCTCTCCATCCCGTTTTGTATACGTGACCATTTTGATCTCGAATGCTATGTTAACACGTGTGCAGTTAGCGTTGCTATTGTGCCGGAAAAAGTGCAAGTAGAAACGATGCACGATACTTCTCGCCGAATCACGACATCGATAAACCCTTAACGGTGCATCTAGCAACACGGAATTCCTAGTTGGAGGATTTTCAATTCGATTCGCTCGGCACACTGGCAATCTAATCGTGCGCATGTCGTTTGGAATTCGATTCTGTGTGCCCGATACACGATTTTAGCGAATGCAGTCCCTCTCAGCGATCGATAAGATGATGGTGTTCGCGATTAGATCGATCAGTCGTTGGTACACGTTGTTAGACGCTCGTAATACTTGATGGAAACGCCTTTGACATGTTTGGTCAGGTTGAATGGTAATACGATAATGTAATTTTCCTCAATAGGCTGAGATAGGTTTTGGAATGGGGTGCTTATTGAAACATCTGCTCTTAAGGATCTTAGAGTTTGGAAGAAATTGAAGACTCTCTATTGGGTCGTTAGATGTATGGAAATCATGGAAATTGGACTTGATTTTGGGTTTATATACAATGTTTATTTTCATATTTAATATTTTATAATTTAGATATTTAAATATTCATATTTCAGATTTACTATTCCATCTGGTTAAAATGAAATTATACCACTCCACGCTGAATCTATGACATATAAAAATCAAACAATGCAGTGATTTGTAGAATGCATATGGCAGACAGGCTTCCCAGAATTGAAAGAAATTACTTAAGCCTCTTAAGTCTCAGACTTTGGTATATTCGAGGCGATAAGATAGAATTCTTAACAATGTTATTTCACGGTGATATGTTTGAAATTATAACGAAGCTCCCATTATGTGTTAAACGACGCATGGTGTATTTACAAGACAAAGAGTTAGAGAGGAAGAGGGGGAGGAATCACTCGTAGGACCGCGGGTTCATAAAGGTCCATTCTTTACGGCGTTCCTTGATTTATTGCCAGCTATCTTTTCTCATTAGCATCACAGAACAAGAGAAAAATGAGAAAAATTCAGTGGACAAAAAGAGCGTTTGGGAGCATGACCGAGCTTTATTTATTTTGACCGTGTGAGATTCAATTTACCATGTGTATGGTCTAGGATGTTTATCTTGAAAATTTATTTTCTCTTGCTTTGATTCAGTTTAATTCTTCGCGTATTCTATTCATGCATTTTCAGTAGTTTAGTTTGCCTTAATTGGTTGTATACCTGATGCCTTATAGGTTACGGTGCAAACTTTACTATGGGTAATTTTATTATAAATTTTATATATATTATATTTCACATTTTATATTGTATATTGTATATTATTAGAATTACCAAACGTGTCGAAATAACAAGTACAATTTTTAATTAAAGACCTGTACTTTCTATCAAAATTACTTCTTGCGTGAATTTTGGGACACCTTATATCTTCTAAAGGCCTTTGGTTTTGTGACTCTTTGGTAAAGAAATTTGTGAGACACTCTGTATAATCTTCAGGTATATTCGGTAATTGATTCCACTGTAATTGAATCTACGGTGAATTATAAATAAAACATTAAGTCATTAGAAACTTTGTTACTGAACTATATTTGTTAGTACTCAAAGTGACATTTGTGTTTTCCATCTCTTAGTGTCATGCAATCTCCTTATGCATGTCTGAATTTTACGATTCAATCGTAAATCACAGCAGCTGTGTCATCTTTCATATTTATTGCAGTTTCTAAAAAGAATCTGACAAGAAATTAAGTCGTCTATGTACATTAAACTGTTACAGCATATTCTTTGTTACAAGCATGCTATTGTTGTTTCAAAAAATGAAATAATTTATGGGCAACATAAAAACACAAATATTAAAGTATTGTTAAAATATTAAATGGTGGTAATATTTCTATAAGAAAAATAATTTTATGTTTCTCTTTGAATCACATCATAAACAAATTTTTCAACATAAAATTATATTTCCTAATATTAATATTTTTAATTTCTTTAAAGATATTAATTTAATCTCTTCTAAAGTTATTACAAAACAATCAATCATTCCTTATGCAAAAGAATTAAAGGAAACGTTATGTTACTTGATCTGGATATGTGTCATAGATAAATGGTTACACAATTTTCAAAATACATCATGTTTCAAAGCTTTAATGTG